AAACATACTCTCCTCAAACTTTAAAAACTCACTTATTTTTCACTCAAAATTAATCCCTCTTAACAAAATATTTTACAGATTACTTCATTTCTACATGATTTCTTGAAAAAATCTTCCTTAAAATTCATCAAATCACTCAAAAATTTCAATTCTTTCTTCTTACTCTAAAAAATTGATCCCCTTTTTAAGCTACCACATTCACTCATCCTTTTTGTCCCTTTCAAACATATTTTACTCCTCTTCATCTACAATTACCAATTCTCTCATCAATTTCACATAAACCTACCTATCTCTATTATCCCATCATTTTCATGGCTCCAAATATATGAGATATATTTTGCTCATTGAGAAGTCAAGCATGGAAGGGTAATTTCACTTAAATTCTTACAATCTATAGAATTCTCTTATTTACATGTCTTTAAGAGATTTGGATGGATCAATTACTTGTGCATGGATGAACTTTTATTTAAGAATCTAGTGAAGGTATTTTATAGCAATGCTAGTTATATTCAAATTGAAGGGTCACATAAATACTATCTTGATAGATTTAGAACATATGTGATGGGGAAAAAATTATAGTTACCAAGCAATTGTTAGCTGAAGCATTCATGCTAAATGACAAGGAAGAAACCAATACTAGGTGTGACATGTTGAAACTAGCTTAAGATATTTTTAGAAATAACAATTTACAAGTTGCTCCTATTCAGCTTTTAGATTGTTAATGCATGATAGATTGTTACATCTTATTGTCACTCATGTGTTGGCACCTTTTGGCACTCAAGACTCAACCATTAGGAAGCAAGATTACTGTTGGATGTATAAGATCAAGCATAAACAAAAACCCAATTTAGTGCATTTTATTTTCAATGATATGATAAGGGTAGTGCAAAATAGAGACTACACCTTAGTCTATAAGTTTGTCATTAGTAATCTTTTGAGAAAATTGAATGTTAATACTATAGGAGATAAAAAGATGGTGTTCAATGATCCATTTAGTATTCTTGGTGCTCCTACTTTGCATAGTATGGGATATGTTCAAAATGCAGCAAGTTTATAGGTTAGAAAAACTGATGTTGAGACTGTACAAGAAGAAGAGAAAGAGTATGAAATTTTAGATATTTTTAAACCTTAAAGAGAACTTTTTACCCCACCATTTGATACCCAAGGAGTCTTAGAAATGCTTGTGCTTCAAATAAATAGTCTGCATTCGATGGTTTAGATTATGAACACTCGATTGGAAAATATGAAAGAAACTCAAAATGAGCTAGTTTCTTAAGTTCGCTAAGTGAGAGCTAACATTGAACAAATGTGGGTTGCACAATAGCACATGGGGTAGCATTTCTCTAATTCTCCTCATCATCATCAATCTCCTCATTCTCCATCTCCTCACCAATGATCCTTCCTAGTTCCATTCCTCATATGTTTTCCCACATTTTTTTTATGTTGTAAATTTATCTTTAAAAATACTTTGCATAATGGTTTGTTATCAAACTTTGATACTTGATGTTTATATTAATGAAATCTATCTTTCATCTTCATTATGATATGGCTTATGACATTGTGGCTTGTGAAATTGATATATTGTTTAATAATTAGTATATTGCTTGACATTGAGATTTGTATGAACTTAAGTTATCATATTGAGTTGGTATGGCCTTGAATTGATTAACTTCATCATTTTTGCTATGACAAAAAGGGAGAGATAATGATATGAAAATTTTTTTTGATGATCTTGATGGTATGAACAAATTTTTACTTGATGATATTGACATTGGTTTTGTTCTTAGTTGCTTTAAAATTTATGCCTAAATTCAGGAGGAGCTTGTTTTTTCATAAATTCAAGGGGAGCTTATTTTTCAAAAGAAAAAATATTTTTAAGGAAATGTTTCACTTGGTTTTATCATATCAAAAAGGAAGAAATTGTTAGCCTTAAATTGATTAAAAGTTTTGATTTGACAAAATAAAAATTTGCCTAACTTGAATCAATCTCTCGTAATCTTAAATTGAACAATTTTCTAGCCTTTTATCTTGCCAAAATTTATTTAGGAACTAAAAAAGATAATTTCTCGAAACAAAATGGATTAAGGCATATTTTGATAAAAGGGATCAATCCTCTGAGGGAAGGGATCGATCCCTTCCCTTACCAGATCGATCCCTATAACCAAAGAGATCGATCCAGTTTTTTTCTAGAAGTAAAATTTATGAAATTTTAGCAAGAATCAATTGATTCTCTCCCTGTAGAGATCGATTGATTGAGGTTTCAAGTCTACCCGATCGATCCCTCCATCAAAAGGATCAATCACTTTTTTATACAGAATGTTATCTAGTTGAAAATTTTCAGAAAAATTATCGATCCCACCACGTAGGGGATCGATTGCCTAAGCATGGGATCGATCACTTCATAAAATGGATTGATCTGTTTTCTTAGCAGAATATAATCTTGGTTTGAAAATGAACAAAAGGGATCGATCCCCCTCATAGGAGATCGATCACCCAAAAATAGATTGATCAGGTGCATTACCTGATCGATTGGGTAAGGCTTTTTAAGCACGAATTTAGGCTTTTTCCTAACTAACCCAATCGATCCCCTGATACCAAAAAGCCCCAACAGCTATATTTTTATCTGATATTTTTATAGGTTTGAAGTATTAAATGCAAGGCAACGACTCTCAACTTCTTTCTACCTATAAATGAAGCCTTTCACTGTAAAATAAGAGTAAGAAGAGCTAAGAGAACTTATTGCCATTTATCAACCATCTTGTTCAAGTATTCAAAGCAGTTTAAATAGAGAAAAGTGTAAAAGACCTACTTATATCAGTTTTTCTCTAAAATTTTTTGTCAATACTGTTGTGTACTTCAAGTTAGCAAACATCCAACCTTAAATAAGATTTTTAAGTTTGCAAAACACTTCAGAAACTTTGTATTGTGAGATTATGAGCTTAAGGGAAAGGATAACTCTTAAAAGTTTATGGTGTTGATTGTGTAAAGCTTTGAGAAGTTAGGTTGTATCTTTCAACACATAGTGGATTGAATTTCTTGGCAAAAGAGGCTAAGAGAGAGAATGTAGGTGCCTAAAGAAAGGACTGAACCTCTATAAATCTTGGTGTCTAATTCTCTATCTCTATCTCTTGTTTACTCTCATTTATTGTGTTTATTTACTTAGATAAATTATTTTGCAAAATTTGTGATTATTAAGTATTCATTTTAAAAATTTTATTATAACCAATTCACCCCCCTCTTAGTTTATTTCAAGTTTTTGAGCTAACAGAGAAGTAGTGAAATGAATTTTTAGATATTTGAAGGGCATTTAAAAAATGTGCTTAAGTTATGAAGTTTCACAACTAGTTTTAAAGGGGTTTACTGATGCTAATATAACAGATGATCTTGATGGTAGAAAATTTACTTCAAAGTATTTATTTATTTTTGCAGGAAAAGTTATATCTTAGTAGTCTAAGTTACAGAAATGTGTTGCCTTGTCAACTACAGAGGCTAAGTATATTCCAACAATCAAAGTAGGTAAAGAAATGCTTTGGATGAATATTTTCTTCTTGAAGTGGGGTTGCATCAGAAAAAGTATGTGATATTTTGTGATAGTCAGAGTACTTTAGATTTGAGTAAGAATACCATGTATCATGCTAGAACAAAGCACTTTAATGTTAGATATCACTGGTTACGTTCGATGATTAAAGAATAGCAAATGCAAATGAAGAAAGGCCATTTTAATGAGAATGCAGCGGATATGTTGACTAAAATATTTTCCAGAGAAAAGTTTGAGCTTTGCAATAACTTAGCCAGATGGGTTACTTAGCCAAAGTAAGTTCCAAATGAAATTACTATGATGATAAATCTCTTTTTAATGGGGCTAGATGGGGAGATTATTAGGAATGTATGGGGTCCAGCCCCATTGTATCCACCAATTAAAAGGTTTAAAGCCTTTTGTTTTTTACCAAGAAATAAAAACCTTACATATTAAAAAAGTGTGAGGGTTGTTAGGCGTGAAAGGTGGTGTGGCGCTGAAAAAAAAAAAGCCAAAAAAGATAGAGAGAAAAGGGAGAAGGGAGAGTTGGTTGAACAGAAGTCTATCCATGGTCCAATAAAGCTGAAATTTGTCAATAAATTTATGATTCAGTGTTTTATATTCTGAACGGTGAAGATCGAGTTTAAAACTCTTTATGAACAAATTCATGATATATTTGTTGAGTTACTTATTTGGTAAGATTTCTCCAATTGTCTTTCTAATTGTTGATTAGCTCTAACTTTAGTTAGAACATAACTTTGTTTATCCATTATTTGATAGTAAAGATTTTTCTGATAGTTCATAATTTTTTTCTCTACACTGAGTTTTTTACGTAAATTTTGATGTGTTTTATTTTTCATGTATTTTGGATTATTGATTGTTGTCTGTTACTGTAAGTTTATTGTGATATATTATTTTTATGTTGTTATATTTGTCACTTTAGGTCTAACATTTAATACGTGTAAAACATGAAAATTATTATATCATAATTCATGTTGGTACGTGAAATATAAAACACATATTTTAATATTTACTAAATCCATATATGATATTTTTATAATTTTAAATCTTGTCAATTTTATATTTTTTATATTATTTTATATCATATTTAAAATTATCAAATTTAGATATATCTAACAATGAGTCAACCCTTGTTTTAGGTCTAGGGTTTGGCTTATATGAGCACGAGCTTTTGACAATTAGTAAGATTTAGAAAAGTTCACTTTGATCTCGTTTAGCATTAATTACCTTTGGGTTTTAAAATGCAATTTTGAATGCAAAAACAATTTTGACAAATATTATAATTTGTGAATTTTTCTATTGGTAAAAATAAATCAATCGCAAAAGCTTATTGGAAGAGAAGATGCTATTGTTGTTTAGAATTTATAATTTGAAGACAGAATTTTAAATATTCATTCAATTATTTATTTTTTTTCCAACATCTTATACTAAAGACTAAAAAAAAAAAAAAACCATTTTTTATCACAATAAATTTTTACAGTACTTTTCAAACTTATCGAGCTTTTGCCGACGGCCACATTAAAGCGAAATTAGGCCTTTATTTATAGTGTTATAAATAAGTTCAACAATCAACAAACACCATTGATTTTGCCTGTTTTCCTAGGACTAGTTTGCTTCAATGTCATTTGCCAATCCCTCCTTTTCTGCAACCTAACATGGAAACCACCTCTCATCTTCAAAAGAAGTGATAACGTGTAAGGTGGGTTCATCATCTTCTCTGCACTTGCACCACCGTCAACGGCTATGATCTCAAACTCACGCATCAAAGCGACCACAATCGTCTTCATCTGTACATAAGCCATATCTTTCCCCAAACACATCCTGGGCCCACAATGAAACACTGGAAATTTAAACTGATCGGACGGCTGAAAAACTCCATCATCATCCAACCATCTCTCAGGCTTAAATTCTCTACAGTCAGGACCCCATACTTTCTCCATCCTTCCCATTGCGTAAGCAGAATAATCAGCAAACCAACCTTTCCCCACGTAGGTCCCATCAGGCCAAACATCATCATTCACCGTTAATCTTGAGTTGATAGGCACAGGCGGGAACAACCGCAGTGACTCTGATAGAGCTGCGTGCAAATAATTCAATTTCTTGAACTCATCATAGTTAAAACCCTCCAGTGCTACCACTTCATCAAGAATCAAACGCACGCAACGTGGATGGCCGTTGATCAACCAGAAAAACCAAGTCAACGCTGTTGATGTTGAGTCTTTACCGGCAAGAATGAAGCTTATGACTATGTCTCTCAGGAACTTCCTTCTCTTTTCTTCATCTTCAAACTCCATTTCCAATCTTGTTTTTGACGTAAATCTCGACAGCAAATCTTGGTTTTTCCCTGTGTTTTCTTTATAATTCTGCAGTTCTTGCTTTTCTTTAGATTTGATGATTTCCAATGCAAAGTCGTTGACTACCTTGATTGCTTGTTTGAATCTTTTCTCTGACCCAAGATTGAGTAATCTTTTTATTTTCCAAATGGTGGGAACTGGAGACAAGAATCTTGATGAACAGATTTCAACAGCATCATCAAAAGCTTTAACAAATCCTGAATTATCCATGGATGTAATGTCCACCCCAAATGCAACCTTACAAATGTTACTGAAAGTAAATTTTTGGAGAGTTTCTTGAAGATCAATGATTTGGTTGTCCTTACAAGCATTTGAGAGAAATGGTACGAGGGTGTCCGAGAGTTGTGAAGTTACCACATCGGAGATAAAGTGTTTAAGCGATTTGGTGTTGAATTCGTGGCTAGAGATCTTACGTTGCAAGGTCCAGAGATGGGCGTCGACACTGAAGATGCCGTAGCCAAGGAGATCATGGAGGACATCATGGTAGCGAGAGCCTTTGATGTAGTTAGGGAAGTTGGAGTGGAGGAGGTGCTGGAGGTTGATGGGATTGGCTGTGCAAACGCCATGTGAGAGGTTAAGGAAGGAGTTGACTTGGAGAGTTGATGAAGGGGTTTGAGAGAGCATGTCGGAGACCCAATCATGGAAGCGGTGGCGGTTGCGGAGGAAGCCAATGAGGTTTCCAATGATAGGGTAGGATTGTGGAGATGGGGTTTTGGTTGGAGCTTGTTGTTGACGATAAAAATTGGAGAACAAGAAGAAGAAGAACAAGCAGCAGACAAGGAAGGAGATGAGGGATAAAGCAAGGAAGGAAAGAAGGGGATTTTCAACGTTTAGGAGGTCAACCATTGTTGAGTTTCTTTGCTTCTTCGTCTTCCAACACTTCAATTGGTTGCAGAAAAGATAAGAGTGTGTGGATAAGACCGTGTCTGGTGATTAAATAATATTTAAATTGTCTACTCCAATTAATTAATTGGAAAACAAAAATTAATAGTACGATCTCGCACGTTAATTGTCAAATATAAAATAATGCATTAAGATTTTATTTAAATAATTTTTTACTTTAAAAAATTAGAACATTTAATATAATATAAATTATTAAATATATTTTTTTGGCACAAAAATTGTTAAATATATTTAATGTTTAAATGATTTAATTGAAAAAAATAGTAAGATACTATATGTTTCAAAGGCCTTTTGTTCTTTTTGGCATTTATTATTTTTGCAAAAATTTTTTTGATTCTTAAAAATAAAACAATTTGAGAAGGTTGAAATGTCTGAACTGAATGTTTAGATTCTTGAATTTATCAGCATCAAATTTGTAATAATAATAATAATAAATTCTTCTTGGTAATTAAGTTACATAGATGATTAAAAAAACCTAATTTATCATTATGTGTAATGCAGAGATATTACAATTTGTGTTTATTATAATTGCATTATGCTTATGAAATTATGATTATTATGATTAAAATATTTAAAAGAAATGACATTGTACCATTACTCATAATTTTTAGTTATCCAATTATATATTTTGTTATTTTAGATAATCTAAAAGTTGCATTACAATTTTATGTTAATATTTTCATAAAGTTGCTTTAAAATTACTTATTTTGTTAGCAAGTAAATGATCATTCTTTTTTATTGGAAATTTTTCAAAAAATTTTCCTACTTGGTAGAATTAATTTAGAAAGTTTTCTCTTTTAGGAATTTTTAAAAAAATCACTTTCGTGTTCCTTTTATAATTTCATCATAAAAAAAATTTTATTTATTTTTAAATTTTATAAATTAATTATTAAAATTTATTTTGTATAAAAATTATGATTTAAATAATTTTTAATTAAAGAAAGTCACCTTTATCAAATTAATTTATGGAATCATATTTTAGTTTTTTGTTACAAACAAATAGAAAGTAATATTACCATTCTATGGTACCTGTTATATATAATTTTTTTTAATCAGATTATATCTTATTTTGTTATCATAAATAATACAAAGTAGTAATACTTATATAGCCATTACATGTTTTCTTATATTTAATTAAATATAATAAAAATGATAATTAGTGAGATATAATGTTAACAGCCCCTGATTTTTTTTTTTTTTTCATAATTCTAATTTAGTTTTATCAAATAATACCTTAGTCGACTATGTTGATTCGAGAGCTGCCATCATATCATCCTTCACCATGTAATTGTTAAGACTTGATAGACAATCATACATGATCTTTGCTTATGGGTGTGAATTGTCTGGTACAGAGAAAGAATGGATCCTCTTGTCAACCTCAATGCAACTATAATCAGGTTTCTTTTTCAAACCTACTTCTTTCATCTTTAATCACACTTTGCTTACCTTGTTCCATTTCTTGGCAGAAGCATACAAAATAATTTAGGATGATGAATCAGCAGGATCTTTCTCAATAAGCAGTTCTGCAAGTTTCTCCCTCATCTTTAAGCGCCTGTGTAAACGGCATGCAGAAAATAGTGTGCTTAGCAACCCAACATCCTCTCTAGTTTCCGGGGTGCTTTGGAGAATCTCATATGCTTCATGTAATCGTCAAGCACGTTCCAGAAGATCGATCAAGCACAAATATGGTTCAAGTTGAGGCTTAATACTTTGCTTGCTGGTCATTTGTTTGAAATAATAGCAACCTTCGTCATCCGGTCCTCCATGACTATAACCAGATAAAACTGCAAGAAAAGTAACTCCATCTGGTTTTGCATTTGATTGCTGCATTTTACCAAAAGCTTCAAAGCATATAGAGCTTGACCATGAGATCCATAAGCAGTGGTCATAGAAGTCCAAGACACAAAATCCCTTTCCGGTAACTGAGAAATTTCTAAATGCCTCATCCACAGCACCACATTTTGCGTACATGTCTAGGAGAGCCCCCTTTACTTCATTTCTTTCCAACTTGCTCTCAGTTGTAGAATTATGAATCTCCTTCCCTTTTTCTAAGGCTGCCAACTGCCAACAAGCTGGTAATACACAAGTAAATGTTACTGCATCTGGATTTACACCAGCTTTTATCATGTTTTCATAGATGCCAAGTGCATCGAAACATTTTCCATCGGAGACGTAACCAGAAATCACAGCAGTCCAAGAGACTACATCTGTCTTTGGCATCATCCTAAAGATATTTCAGCTGAATGAACATTTCCACATTTGTAGTATAGATCAATAAGGGAGTTGTTAACAAAGATATCATTTTCTATCATGTTTTCTCATCATATAACCATGTATAAATTTTCCATACTGACGTTGGGCAGATCTTGAACAAGCCACTAATATGCTGCTTAAAGCAGACAGAAGGTTTAATCCCTTCCATATACATCCTCTTAAGGAGTTCAAAGGATAATTGGCTATTGCATGACGAACTGTAACCACACTCTTTTCTGGTATTTGCTCAAAGACTTCCCAAGCTATCTCTATACAACCCGCATTTTCCATACATTTCAACAAGACCAGAGCCAAGAAAACCATCCAACACGAAATTAAAAGTTAAAAACTTATTTGAATAGAATAAAAATATAATAGCTTATTAAAAGAAATGAAAAAGTTCATAGATTCATTTAATATTTTAGCCAAAAAGAAAATCCTATTAAACCTATCAAAGTTGTCTCACTAGTACAATTTCTGCTTCCCTCATCTTTTGATGAATATAAGTGATCAATTGGGATCCCAATAATTGGGATCAAAATCGTGAAAAGACCAGAGCCAAGTGGTTATTTCATTGTGTTAATGAGCCAAGTTCTCAGTCCCAACACCAACACTAGACTCGACAATCATAAAAACAAAGTATTGCTCATATACTCTCGCTCTGAGTGTTCTCTGCCCACCATTGTTCAGCTTGTTTCTCACTAAACTGCTTCAACTGCATTCATAGTTTCGAAAACCATTTAATTTCTCTTCAAAGTTCATCTCTAAGAGTCAATAAGAGGTAATATTAGTTAGCTACACCAATCAAGGATGACCTGAATGATTTTATTAAGAAAATTAAAAAAAAAAAAAAAAAAAACTAAACTAAACTTTAGCTGTTTGTATATGCAACAGAGGTTGCAACAATAATCAGGTAAACTAGAAGCCATGGTAACAACGAAGCATATTCTTACCAAATCCAGTGATCTGTCATTATCTATAAGTGATGAGGACTGATACTTTTCCTCGGGCAGAGGATATCTGTGGCAGATAGGCTGGAAGATAATATAGGCCAATTTTAATCAGTACTAGCAGAAAAATATAAATATTTTTTGAGTATAAAGTCGTCACAGCATCACCAAAACATGACATGAATGACAGAGACTAGATCACCACAACAGATAAAACGAAGCTACTATGTTCATAAAAATACACACGAAAGAGACCTGAAAAACACATGACCACTATGGCATCACAATTTCAGATTGGCAATGAAATGATCCAACAGAAAGAAAACTGGAATAAAAAAAGAAAAAAGAACATGGTTTTAAATTAAGGTGCTTTTCTAGTTATCCAAATGTAATTGTAATGCAATAAGCTAGCAAAATATTGGAGTAAAAAGAACAATATAAAATTGCAACCTCGTCAAAAATTCTGGACAAGGATTAACCAAAGGTTTAATCTACAAGAGTCTATAAAGTACCAGTTTTACATTAATCTTTGTATGAACATTTATTGAAGCATTCCTCCAAAGTCTAAAGCACCTAGACAAGGCAACATTGTCTTGCATGAGTGCTATTCACAAGTCTCATTTACAGTGGCTTATTATAGATATCAAAAATAGTATAAGACATGTTTTGGGCATTGATCAAGGGAGATGTATACTAGTACAAGGGAAAAAGACTAACAAGTTATAAGCTAGAGGAGCTTGATTAGCAATCAATTTTTTTTCATCTTCTTCCCAATCGCAAACAAAATACAAATTTTCCACAAAACACACACACAGAATCACCAATGAAGCTGGCATTAATTTCACATTATAGGATTTACCTTCCAGATAGGCCGCAACCTATATGGCTTACATATTCTGCTTCCATCATGATGGCTTTTCAGTCCAAAATATTGCCAATATTTTGGGTACAGGTGGCATAACCCGAATCCAAAAACCTGCCCAAAAAGTCTGAACTCGTTCGGCATTGGTTTGATCAAAAAAGTCAAAGACCCAAACCCGAGAAAATGAGAAAACAAAACAGCCAGAACCTGAAAAAACCCAAATCTGAAAGGACCCGAACCCGAACTCGAACCAGTCTCAAAAAGCATGCTAAATGATTATCTCTTAAAATCTTAAAAAATAACTTGAGTAGCCTGAACCCAAACTGACCCAAACTCAAAAAGACCCGTACCCAGAAGCAGCTAGAATCCAAAATGACCTTATCAGAACCCACCCTGACCAGACTGATTGCCACCTCTAATTTAGAAACTGGAGGCAGGGACAAGGTGCATTCCTGGCTCAAACCCACCCTCTTGACTTCCTTAAATGTTGGGGCAAAAGTTGCTCAACATGTTGGACCCATTCATCCCTTGTGCATTAAAGTAGTTCAACAGCCATAAAATGGCAGATTGGTTGATCATAATCTCAGTTGAATTCAAGAAAGTGGAATCTGTGCTTTTATTTCTAAGTTTCTCTGCAAACACAGTTAAGCTGTCAAATAGCATTGAGGTGTTAGACACAGCCCATGTAGCCAAAGCAGCTGCAGCAAAGTCCTGGAACAAATTATTAGGCAAAGACATGATGGCACCGACAAGTTCTGGTTTAGGTGCACAAGAACTGCAGAGAGTCAGAAGGCCTCCGACTGCTATAGCACAAAGGTTTGCATCTATTTCACTGGAGCAGAAAAATTCTAAAATGATCTTCTCAACCCGAACCTCAGAAACCGAAAGCTCTGATCTAACCAAGCCCCAGAATTTATGCTGCTCAAGACAGTTCCAATTGAGAGAGTTCTTAATTAAATGGAAAACAGGCTTAGGATTGCCTCCAAATAAAGAGAACTTCTTCAAGCCAATTTCAAACTGCATTTCCGTAAGATCTGCATAATCTAATTTTTCTATGAGCAATCTGATAATGTCTTCCTCACCAATGGCTAAATCTGAAAGATAACAAAAGACGCTGGACAATAAATATTTTGCTTTTATCCTTTTCCAATCAGAACATTCCTTTAAGTCAGAAGAGAGGAGCTTTGATGGAATGGTATCTGTTTCTTTGTCTAAGATGGTTCTCGAGGACAAAAGAAAACACTTGTAAGCAGTAAAAGCACTACTGACCAAATCAGCAATGGACTTCTCACCCATTTCAGAAGAAGAAAGGAAGCCATCAGAGGAATCTCCTTTTCTTCTGTTAAGAAAATTAAAATATCCATCAAAATGATATGCCAACAATGGCATCCCTGACTCACTTACTTTATCCACAGAAACTGCATTTCCCAAACAACCTGTTGCATTTGCCTCATATGCTAGTCTCGATGCATAAGATAATAAACGTGCACCAACTGGAAGAGCATTCCTTGCCCAGAGCACAAGCATTTCCTCTACCCTTTTATTCTGAGAAAAGATGAAAGTACGAATAATTAATGCTGTGGCAGAACCAATTTCATCATCACAGTCAGCAATATCACAAAGACTGCCAAGAGAAGTAAAGAGTTGGTATCCATTTGACTCAAATTCCTTTGCTATCTTAGATGATAGATCCTCACGGCATATCAAATTACCAGTTGATCTCTGATTACATTGATTCACAAATGACAAAAGAATTCCCTCCAAAGTTTGAAGCCTTTCATCTAATCTCTCAGTAGCATCTACTTCATTGTCATTAGCAACAACATGCAAAGTAGATGTAGTAACTGAATTATCTAAAGCTGGAACAGAAGCAACCGCAGCTCTGGTGCTTAATCCATCTTTCCTTTCACAAGTAAATTGCTCCTTCAGGGATGGGGTAGGGGTTCCCAGACATGACACATCAGGCAAACTCAAGGATGGTGTAGAGTGATCAGGAAGATCAACTAGAAGCAAATCACTAGGAACTTTAGCTTGAGAACTCAACAATAAATTCTGAAGGCTTTCTCTTATAGAAGAAGAAAGTGCATCACAATGGATCAAAACATCCAACGAATGTACCACTCCTTTCAGAACAAGTGTATTAAAAGCTGATGATACACCCCTAACTATAATGTTTTTGTGGTCCAAATCATAGTTGTCCACAAGAAGAAGCAGAAACTCAAGAAGGGAGTGAGTGAAGTCAATATATTTAGGCAAGGAGCATACCATCAATAGCACTGCAGGTTCAATATTCATAACATTGTCCATTTTTTCATTGAAAAAGAGCCAATCATAAAACAATGCTAGCTTCCCATTAGCTTCAATATAATTCTTCCTACAACATTTTAGTAGCCAACCAATAACAGCCCATCTGGGAATAACATTTGACTGAATAATTTCATTAGGCGGGTGGTGTGCACAGCAAATGAACCGGACAATATCAACAACAAGACTCTCTCTCTCTGGCCCTAAAAGAAATTTCTTTGCAAACCATGTCTGATATCGCTTCTGGCTCCCAAGCATCACATGTGAGAGTAAAAACCGCAATTGTGTTTCCATTTCAGGAGTGATCCGGAGTAAAAAGTAACGACTCGAAGTCCTTATGCAATACAACTGTGAAATATCCGAATACTCAGAAGTTCTAAACTCAGTTGGATTCAAAACCAAATCCTTCCATATTGATTTAAACTCAGGTATATGAACCAAATCTTGTAATAATCGAACAAGGTCCCTCCCTATCTTCAAACAAAGACAAAACTGCTCCCTCAACATTTTGACACAAAACTCAATCTCCAATTGCCTCAACATCTCTAGCTTCGGATTACTCAACACCCTACAATGATCAGCTAATAACCGAAGAAATGTATACAATGCACTAGTCAAAACTATAGGCTCTTCTTGTAACAAACAATCCCATTTACTTAAACAAAGACTCACTAACTCGAAACATAACCAAAGATTCCCATCACTAAAATCACCACCAACAATTTGCCTCAATAAACACACTAACAAACTATCAATCCCTACAGCGGAAACATCAATCATTTCTTTAGTAACCCAAATTAACTGATCTTTAACTGAATCAACAAGCTTTCCATACAATTCGTTAACAATTCCAACAAGTAAATTTGAAAACAGCTTGTACCCATCAATGACAATAGCATGTAAGTGCTTGATATGGATTTTGGCGAAATGGGGTTCGATTAAAACACCATAAAGAATAGCTTGATTAAGCAGAGTGTATTCTTGGGGGTTTGGGATAGTTAACGGAAAAGGGGGTCTTAGATTCGATTCGAGAAGGTCAAAAGCTTGTCTTAGAGAGAGTTCTAGCTGATTTTCAGCTTCGTAGGATGCGATTCGAATGAGTTTCGAAGCCATAAAGAGTAGTTTTCATTACCTTATGGACTATCACAGGATACAATTGTTACTCGCGAAGTGGACTTCTGCCGCTGCTTAAAACTACACCACAAAAACGAATTTTTGATAAAATATAACAATACTTGGAAAGATTTTTGCTTTCTTTACAGGAGAGCGAGAGAGTGGAACAAGGGAGACGCTTGCTTGACAGACAAAGAGAGAGTTTTTCTGAAAGAAAAGGGTTAAGCACACGACAGCGTTTCGTTGCGATAACCAAATAGAAAAGAAGAGAGAGACAACGTCCTAAAAATATTTTTAAAATACTCAATCGACTATTTATATAATATATAAACAAATAATGGGCCGAGCGAAGGACATGATACCATTAAAGGTGGCTGAGCACGTGGGATTGGGTTTGAATCGGCTATTTAATTAGAGTCTACTCGAATTTGCTTTGTTTTAAGTTCCATTAATTTGAATCATTTTAGAGTTAAGTGATTTGAATTTGAATTACATTGAGTTTAAATTATAGATTTTTAAATTAAATCAAATTGAATTTAAAATAAATTATTATTTACATCAAATCAAATTTTATCAAATATAATTAAATTATTCAAGATTACATTTTCATAAATTTATATTTATTCTATCTTTTTTTTTTTTAAATCTCAATCCTTTATTCAAATTAAATAATAATTATATTTAAAATTTTAAATTTATCCTCACTTTTTTTATTATCAATTAATATCATTACACAAAGTCTAATAAAACAACTATAACGCACCAATGATGTCAGTGCCAAATATTTTGCAAAATATAAAATTTGTTTAAAAGTAATTGACGTCAAATGCTAATGAAAAGGGTAAAACTGAACTTAAGTCTTTAGGTTTTGAATAAAAAAATATTAAAAAATATCCTTTTAAAGTTTGTGTAAATTATTAGGAGACAAAGACAGAAGGAGTAACATTTTTTCATAACCATGGTTTTTGTTTTTTTTGTTTTTCTTTTTGCCAGAAAATGCCATGGTTGAGTAGAGGGGTTTTTAGTAGTGAACATATGGTTCGGGTAAAGAGATTAGATGGTTGTTTCTTGGTTTTGCTCAACGAATACTCGGTCTCTATTTTAACTTCTGATATGTCACAATGTAGAAAAACTGCATCTATTCAAAGGAACTTATGACAAGGCAACATATAATCTGAATCACCAGTGGCTGCCACAGGGAAAAAAGATTCCGGCGATGGCTTAAAATTTTTAGCTCAATTTGACCCTATATTATTATTAGTTTTTTTTGGTTCACACCTTCTCTATGCAATTTCAATGACAATGTGCTTGATTTTGACAGGAGGTACTTGCAGGTCAGATAAACTTCAACATGGAGGCGATCCATATTTGTATTTTCTATCCCTTGTTTTAGTGCCTTCGATTTTTATTTCTAATCCGTTGTTTGCTTCTGAAAAATATTTTCATGGAATTATCGACATTTTTATTTTTTATTAAAATTGTATATAAATTTGATAAAAAAAATATTATATTTAATGTGTAAATACAAATTATAACATTATTTTTATATATTAAATACAAAATAAGTAGATATATACACAAATTTCTGATCTAAATAAAAATATACGTGAACGTTAGAGAAGAAAAAAGGAGAGATGAAGTTTGGAGTACAAATTTAACGATGAGACAGAACGGGAGAATACAAATCTGAAAACACTAGCCCATAAATGCACATGGCATCAGCTTTTAACAAGCCTAAACTGAAATTATATAAATCAAAAGAAAAATGGTTCCTGCAGATTTCATTTGCTTATGAATTTACATGGCAGCTACTTTCATCGTGAGCCAGCAACCTACTATGAATTTACATTTGTCACCCCTCAATCCCCCACCCTCCCACACAAGGTACATATAGGGAAAAAATGAAGTAGAATCAAGTGGAAAAAAAATATCAAAGGGGGCAAAAATAAAAGAAAACCCAATCCAACCTCTCTAGTTATCTCACTTAATACCATTTCTGCTTCCCTCAACTCTTGATGAACATAATTGAGATCCCAATAATTGGGATCAAAATCTTGAAACGACAATATTACATGTACACATGGTTATTTCACTGTGTTAATGAGCTATGTCCTCACTCCCAACACCAACATTAGACTTGTCAATCATGCGGACATTGTATTGCTCATACACTCTTGCCCTGTTCTCTGCCCACCATTCTTCAGCCTGTTTCTCACTAAACCGCTTCCGACTGCATTCAAATTTTCGAAAACCATTTAATTTCTCTTCATTATAACCATTTCTAAGAGTCAATTAAGATATAATATAGGATAGTGACACCAATCAAGGGTGATCTAAAGTCTAAAGAACATGGTTACATCAAGGACATCAAGTATGTGTTTGTGTTTGTGTGTGTTTGTGTTTGTGTGTGGTTGTGGAAGTGGGAGTGGGAGCGATACAGTTTGAACTAAAATCATATTCAAAATAGAGTGAACATGATTCTTCACCTAATTTCGTTCCCATGCACTTAGTGCAGAGACAAAAACACTGGTTACAAACTTAGCAGTTTGGGATGCATTTAGGAGTGCAATTCAAAGCTTATGTTCATTTAGCTTTCTGTCAAAGCCAATGCCAAACCCAAGCTAACATCAGGCTTAGTTGAGCTGTTTATCTACACTTTCTTTATTCCCATATTATTGTCATCTTACTGATTTTGCTTATTACAAACAGAAATGTCCACTCCACCAAATCCCTCTCAATTCCTCATTATTCCAGATAGATTGTCTAATAATTTAAAATTGTCATCGAGAGTAAAGCATAAATACCTGAAGCGAACTCGCTTGAGATCCTTGGCACCTCCTGGTAGTGAGGTAAGTGTTATATACACACCAGGTTCATCTTGCTCAACCCATTCATTCTCATTTCGAGATTCACCTTCTTTTGTTCTGCCTCCACTTTTAGTTCCTGTTTCAATATGGCCTTGTTTGTTATGGCCCAAACTACGATTACTAGCAGTGTTGGACCCATTAGAAAGCAACTGGCTGCTTGATAAATTTGAATCTGGTTCTTGGCACGCTATTTGACCATTCAATCTTTCAATTGAAACACTAGAGACATCATTGGAAGCAGGGCTGGAGCCAAACGAAGAAAATGAAGGTGATTTGATGTTCCTTGCAGCCCCCACAGGCAGTCTTTCAGCCATATCCTTTAACTGTTCAGCATATCAAATACCATCTACATCAGTAGAAAGACGATGAAAGTGTTGGAAGTCCAACTAACTATTAAACTGACTTTGGTGGTAAATTGAGCAATTATCTAATTAATAAGCAGAAAGAAAAATATAATGCACTCGTAACATTATGCATCATGGATAATACTCTTGTTACAAAAGCATTTAATATGCAATTAGAAGAAAAATACATCTAGAATCTATATGAGCACTGAATAGTAGTTTAGCATTAATTTTGAGGTATGGATAGCTTCCACATGCTATCCAGTGAAAACCTGTGTGATTCCAACTTCTTAAAAGAAAAACAACTGACAGACATGATGAGAGGAACAAGAAGGGATTCAGAAACTAAATATTCAGTTAATTTTGCATTGATTTTAAAGGGCAGAACAGGCCAGCTATCTGTTTAACCAGAAAAGAAGGAAAAAGAATCCACAAAAAGTGGAGTATAATTGAGCTTGAGCATTCTTATGATCTTGTCACATGCTCAGTTTGTTACCTAAAGTAAGCAAAGAGCTTTAGAATAAATAAGAGGAAACCAGAATATAAAAAACCAGAAAAATGATTTAATATAGCTAAGACAACAAACAAAAGACAAAAAGTTATAGTTAAAAGCATCGATCACTCATAAACAAATTGCAAGGTAGAGATTTAAAACTAAAGTTTTATTAAAATAGATATCCATGGACCGTAAACAAACATTAATCTATCTTACTTGGGCAGTAAGTGACTTGATGACTTCCTTTGCTGCTTTGCATTTTGCAGTCTCCTCCTCTGCAATTGCTATTGCCTCCTTCAGCTGTTTGGTTGTTCTTTCCAGCTCAACTTCTTGAAGCTGTGCTTTACGTGTAAGATTCTCCACCTGAGAGATAAAGATTGGTAAGGCATACTGAATAAACACTGAATAACCTATCAAGAAAGTTAAACAAGCTTGATGAAAAAAGGGTACAAGAGTAAATCTCCTAAAACTGAAAAATATCCTGCTGAAATCAAAGCTTAGCATCTACTTTGCCAGCCCATTTTTAGCTCTTTGATTTTTCTCCTTCCTCATCTATTAACATATTGGCTGAGAGAAATCTTACTACTGGAAGAATTTACTGTAAAATAGGAAGCCATATTTTGACCATTGATTTGAAAGAACTCAGAATTTATTACATCACTTTGCAAGCGCACCAGTTTTAATGCATTCATCACACTCACTTCAGACAGAAATCTATAATGCATGCTCATTTGTTATCTAGGCATCATGAATTAACAATAATATCAAACAAGCATATCAGTCACACCAAGAAAAAGACCAAGAGAAATGGGTTTTCAAGATCTAACCACTCTCATGGTTACACTTAACAAAATAGGATGCATTCAAATTTTGAGAAAAGCTTCCTTCATCTTAGCTACAGACACATTAACATGTAAAACAAAAAGACAATGCAATTTATTTAGGTATTATTTGGCTGTAATTTTGCTAATTGCTTTTTGCTAAAAAAAGAATGTCTGAATATAAAAGAAAATTTTTCTTGAAGAATTACAAATTAAAACTGTTAACTATTTTGGATAACAAAATTTTGATCTAAATTTCTTATTTTATTTAGAATAATTATGTTAGAATTGCTGCTGCATTTTAATTACTTGTTCATTTTTAATCAATGATGATTTTAGCAATTCTTAGGAAGCAGGATATAAATAGGAAAATACAAGGAGCAAGAACAACAATCAAAGGGAACATTAGTCAAAATAAATAAACAAATCTCCACAACAGTCTTGAGAAGTAGAAGAGACAAAATACCTGTGCTCTTAGTCTCACAACCTCTTGACTAAGGCTATCATTGGTCCTCTTAGCATCATCCACCACTATTTTAGGGGAGGTGAGGCCTCCAAGAGTTGGGGTTGGTGTTGTTGAACGAGGAGGGCTAGGCCGTCTTGATATTGGTGACGTTGCACGAGAAACAATTCTTGATCCAGGAACAGAAGCTGAGAAAAACTTCTTAGATGATCCAAATACTGGATTAAAAGATTTAGAAATATTAAGTGCTCCCCATTGGGAGCCTCCATTTGGAACTGGAGA